TTATAATATATAACAACTTTGTGCTTAAGCTCTGTGTGTAATTATGCTTTGATATTTAACATTAGAATTATATGGCTTTAATGTAGCTACACCAATAAATATACACAAAAGGCAAATCCTTTAAAAAATCTAATTACAATATGTCCTCAGAGCTCACTGCCAATTAATCCTCATCTGACCTAAAGGAAAGTGGGACATGAGCGAGATCAAATGATGAACTCAGCAAACTGCCAGCTAGAGTGAAAGCTGTTTAATGCCACTGCTCACTTTGCTTCGGTGCAGTTAAAGGCAGAGACAAATACACACATCACTAACAAAACGCTCAGCTCAAACTCCTGAGAAACAGTTTCGCTCTGCAGACCACCCCAAATCGCTTTCCTTCCTTCTCTATGAATAGGTGCACAAAGGCATTTTTGAAAGTGGAAGCAACTTGTCTTAAAGACGCTGATTCTCCCAGTCTGGATAGCTGCGGAAACAAGCAGTTCATTGATGCCAGGCGCAGTGCATCACCCTGACAGACAAACCACTCCAGTATAAGAGGGAACAAAGCGGCCAGTCCACATCCACGTTGCCAATTAGCAGGAATTTCAGCCTCAAGAGCCAGTTTCCACTAGTCTCATTGGAGTTGACATAAACATCTATGGCTTTCACTGAAGACATTCATGGGATTCCAAGGAGCATTAGGTCCCCTCTGCGGAGCCTGAAATCTGGCAGTTAGAAATCACAATGGACCATCTCGTACCACTTTGAGAAACACTTCTCACTCACTGGTTGCAGGAAGCATGCTAATAATAGTGAAAATGGCAACATCTGAGCCGTATTTACATTAGCTGAAAACACTTATGAGGAGAGAAGATAGTGGTTAACAGAAATGATCAAGCATGCCCTGCTTCATCTCGAGCATCAGCTTGCGTGTTGCTGGATCAACTTATATTGAACACATGGGAAATAATATGTTCTTTCTGCCTGCTGCCAAGCATTTTAATGCTTTCAGGAAAAGACTAAACATTCACGCACA